TTTCCCCCCCCCAAAAAGGTAATTTAGTGAATAAACACAGTAAATTGACGTAAGTAACAAATTCCAGCATACCAAATACACAATTAAACTTATACACACATAACACACCATATATCAAGAAGACAGATGATCAAATACACAAAGGCATATCAAATTAGACAGATAATCATATGCACAAATACACCAACTAACGTCATGTGTAACAATAATATAAGGGCAAATCAAAAGAAAAGGCGATATCGTCCTAGTTTCAGCTGAATAACCCCGTCCGGTCTCTCACGTCACTTACTATCCAAACTAGATGTCCGCAGACCTCTTATACTCATTCTAGCCGGACAAAGCCTATTCATGTTTCCAAAATACAAGTCTCAAGTACCTAGTAGCTAGCATCGCCTCAACTCTGGAGTACTGGGGCACGAGAATCCGAAATAAAATAATTCACATCTCGAGCTGGCCAGTCCCAAGAGTAAACCATCTACAATCGAAATTCCTACCAGACGTACCTATCTATGGTCCTCAAATACCACAAGAAAATTTAAGGCCTATAACATCCACAATTCAAAACTTATGCTCGAATGAGCACTTACTCTTTCATACCTATTCACCACTCAGTTCAGGCTAACTCCGCGCAGAGACCACGCGAAGCAGGTTCTGATACCACCTGTGACAGCTCCACCTCTCCCTAAGGCGAACCAGAGGGTTCGGTGGACCGCCTGCCCAGCTCTCGCCGGGACTCAGTCGTTCACTACATTCCTCAATTAAAATTGGAATAAACCACAAGAATAAATAGGACAATGATCCAAAACTTAAAGCGGAATTTATATACATTGCTATCCCAAAAGGGAGTATCAACATCGAATATACAAAGGTTCTCAATCCTTCATACGTCCAGCCCGTGCCAAGTATTAAGGCGAGAACCAAAACAAAAGAAACAAAAGAACTATACTGGCTAGTCTATATCGAGCTCACGTCCTTGCTCGCCTTCCCCTGTTAAAGAAAACAAACTAAAGGGGTGAGCTAAAAGCTCAGTGAGGTTCCGAACACATATTCAACAACAAAGCCAATACATTAACCTTCGATAATCAATAATTCAAGAAACATTTACAATGGAAAGCGATAATAACATATACATTAAAAGGATACGGGCTCACAGGGAGCCATTTGTTCATTCGTTCGTTCGTTCGTTCTCCTGTCATTCCCCTTATTTCTCCAATCATTTGAAAATATATTTTTGTAAGTAAAACCCTCATTTGATCGTTCATTTCATTCACCCCCTCCTAGACGTTGGCCAGGCTTCACCAACCTACAAGGTAATACTCGAGTATACCAACGTTCACACCCGGGGTCACCATATCGCCCGACCTAGTCCGCTTCTAGCTCGAGTCGATCGGTAACGAAGGGCAGGGCTCAATTCAGCCAAAAGGCTTACATCATGCACAACAAATGTATCAATCATTAAATCGTTGAAAATTTCACGTTTCATTTAGGTCGAGCGCGATAAAGTACACGCTCGCCTAGAAAATTCGTTTTGGAAATCATTGGAAATACTTAACACGTTATCAAACAATAACAACAAGTCATGAAGTCAAGGAGAATATAGCAAACAAGGAACACTCACCTATGTACGCAAAACAACGTGCAAAATATTCTTCCTGATATTATCCTTAGTCACCGAGAAAACCTAAGATTAAACGAGAACGAATATTACAGCTCATCTAGCACAAACAATTAGGTGAAATCAAAGAAACTCAACAATTGATGAGTAGAACGTATAAAAAAACTTTAAAGTGAAACGAGGACATTTGGACCCGTGGACAAGAATAATTAGGGTTTCGTAGACCAAACGTAAAACCAAACTAAAGACAAGTCGGAATCCAACTAGATAGACTAAGAAATACTGTTTTCGGAATCGTTTATATGGTTCAAAATCATCTCATATTCAAGTAGATATTATACACTAAAGGTCTTAATGAAATTCATGAAAAAAAGAGGTCAAAATACCAAAGAAAACCCTAAACCACTCCTCTTTATTTGGGTAAGAGTAAGTACACATTAGGAGTTTCCAATTGAAGAAGGATCATGTTTTAAGATGGAAAATGGTCATATTATTTGCCAAACGAAAAATATACAAGTTCAAATAGAAACTTAGCCCACGAGCAAAAATTTGGGCAGCACGCCCTTTGTATTTACCTATTTCCCAGTCATTTATGGCTCATTGTTTTCCTCAATCAATCCCAACATCACACACAACATAAATAGCCACTCAATAGGCTCAATGTCAGATGATTACCAAATCAAGCTAGGACATGTGCGGAAATGACGTTTAGGTTGGAAAATAAAAGACAGATTTGCTGTTGCTTAGTAGAACTAACACAACTGAAATGACACTAATCAGATTGAGGTACAATTTACACTGTTTCGAAACTAAGAGAAAGGGCTACAATGTTGAAGAAGGCCACTCAGTCCAGTTTGGAATGTATCTATGTCAAATTTACCAAAACAACCCCAGATTTTCCAGTTCGCAGTTCAACTAGCAGTCCTGATTCATTCAATCATATCTCACCACATACAACTCCAATTCAAGTGATTCCAAAGCCATCTGAAAGCTAAGATACCTGGACATATTTCTTAAGAAGACATCGACAACCAAATCAGTAGTATTCCCGGTCAAACTAACCAATTACAGAAGCGGATTATCAGTTTCGGATAGAAACAGGGCAGCAGGGGTATTTCGATCTTTTCACAGGTTACGTTGCTCCGATTGGGCTGAAATTTTTAAGAAAACTACAAAACATCATTTTATACAACTTTTAAGTTTTAACCCAAGGCTAATTCGGCCTCTAACTAGGAGAAACAGTACCGGGCAGAATGGGGTTAATTGAAACCCTAATTCCGAAATTTCCTTTCAAAGCGGAAATTTTCCGCAAATAGCCACAATTTACGCACCCTATCTTCATTCTAGATCATTCCCAACCATCATCCATGGCCAATCAATATTAAACATATAAAAACATAAAAATCATGAATAAATAGAAAAATTCACCATTCTCAACCAAAATCATGAAATAGCCCACAAAATCACCTCTTAGACTACCACAAGCCACTAATTAAACATCATTAGATAGAAAAGAGAGGTTCCTTAGCTACTCACCTTATCAACCAAAGAAAGGAGACAACTTAGCACCTTAGTCTTCCAAACCACTTCACTAATCACCTCACAATCACTAAACTAAGGATTTTTATAGAGAAACTTCAAGATTAATCGGTTGGTTTGTTGGATTGAGCAAGATTGGAGCAAGAAATTTGGAGAGGTTTTCCTTTCTTTTCCATTGAAGATGGCTGGCCACAAGAAGCTTGAAATGAAGATGATTTTTGGTCAATTTTTGGTTTATTTGGTACAATGGTGAATAGTGGTCAAATGTAAGAATGCATCTCCAAGTGACACTTGTCACTCCAATTAATGCATGGCTATCCTTTTGTCCCTCTCACACCAACTCATTTAGTAACCTCTAGTTATCTCTTAACACCTGCTAAAATAAACCCGGTATCAAAACTTAACCTAACTGGCCGAATTTTTTCGAACTTTCCGCACTAGCGGGTCCCACGTCCGGTATACGCTCTTAATTTCTCAAAAACTAACCGATACTAGAAAAATCATCGAAAAACTATATTTACTCATACAAATTACCTAGAAAATTTTCCTAATAAAGAAAATGCATAATAACATGCAATTAATTACCATAAAACCTAGAAAATAAAACCTAAAAAATTAGAAAATCTACGAATTCTCACATCCCTAGATTAAAATTAGGGTTTCGATTAAAACATGAGAGATTTAAGAAAACCGATTAGTCACAAGTAACTCGGGTTTTTTATTAGAATTTAGGGTTTCTAGTCTTTAAAACAAAACAATGTCTTAAAATAATAATAAACTAAAGAAATCGTAATATCTTCTTGAGACTAAACAACATTAGTATCCTAAAAGTTGGGGTATCAGAATCTCCCATCCTTCAAAGAATTTCGTCCTCGAAATTGCAATCAACGAGCTAAGGGTTGGAATACTCGAATACCTCATTAACGAGTTCATTAATAGTGGTAAAGATTATCTCAAGAATTGGTCACTCTATGTATTTCAATCCAAGAACCAACCGTGTAGTCCTTATCTCAAAGTCTCAATGGTCTTTATTCTCAATGAATTTCAAATGTCTCGTAGATCGGCCTTAATGGTAGTAATCTTTTAAAACGAATAGAAGAAACCTCAATACGATGGAAGATAGGGGGTACCTTCGATGATTGCCAATGGGTCTGTCACCTCTTGATGTCCCATTGCATAGGTCATTGCCGGCACTTTTGGTCGATTACCTGTTGCATTGGTCGGCTTAAAAGTGTTCCCCTTTGCCCTTGGAAAATTTCCTTCTTTTGACAGGTGAGGGCACTGAGCAATCAGGTGCTCAGCACTGCCACATCGATTGCATTTCCGAACTTGTCCTTTCTTCCAACAATGATCTTCTATCTGGTTAGCAGCCCCACAAAATCCACATGCCATTCTCGGTCCGGATGTCGGACCTCCTCGTGAGGTACCCTTTTGGGTCTCTCTTCCTGCCTGACCCTTCTCAAAATATCCTTGATTCGGGGACCCTATTGATCGTGGTCCACCTATTCCTCGACCCCTCTTAGATGGTGGCTCGCTTCCCGAGCTCTGTCCCTCTATATAACTGCTTGGATCCGGTTGTCTCCTTTTCTTATCATGAAAAGTTTTTACTTGATTCTTAGTACTTTCAATCCTTTGTGCCTTTTCAATAGCTTGACTATATGTCTCCAATTGAGCAGCTGCCAGTGCCTCTTAAATCTCCACATTCAAACCCTGGACAAACCAACGAATTCTCATTTGGTCTGTCAGCACTAACTCTGGAACAAAACGATAGAGTTTGGTAAATTGCGTCTCGTACTCCGCCACACTTATAGTCCCTTGATGTAGGCGTATGAACTCATCCTCTCACCTTTCTTGAACAAGTGGCGGTAAGTACTTTTCATTAAACTCACGAGTGAAATTAGCACATGTCCATGGGGTCTGCTCTCTATCCCACTTGGCTTGAATTACATTCCACCAGGCACGAGCCGCTCCCTCAAATTGAAAAACGGCGAAAGCTATCTGCCGTTCCTCCGAGTATCCTAACGAAGCAAAAATGTCTAACATTCGCTCCAACCAACTCTCCGCTATATCAGGGCTAGGTCCACCCAAAAATTTTGGCGGTAGAAACTTCTGCAACCGTTCTAAGGCATGGTCCTCTCCCTCATGATTTCCAGGATGCTGTACTTGGCCTTGACCCTGTTGGTTGACCATTCGTTCTAATAAATTAGCCATTCGCTATATGGCTGTAGCTACTTGGGTTTCGGCTTGTATATTCACATTTTCATTGGTTACCCCTTCGGTTCTTTGTCCTCGTCCTCGACCTCTACCCCCACCACGAGTCTCCATTTGATTTTTTATAACTTCTATAATTTGGACAAAATATGGTACGAGATCAAAGCGTTCAAAAGTTATAAAATACACAAAATAATCAAAAGATGAAAATATGTACATATATATACAAGTCACGCCAAAAATATACACATATCAATTCACATAGCAGCTAATATCCAGCCAGTACAAAACATGGTCGTTCATGAGCACACCGGCTCCAAAAAAAAATCAACAAAACTACTCAGAGTAATGGCCCTAGCGGAAATCCCCTACAGAGCCTATAGAGTCTATCGCATCCATCGACCCCGCTCCGCCAGCCCTAGGTGACGCCTCGGCAGTCATATCTAGGAGAACTTCACAGGCTAGCATAATACCTCGGGCTCTCTCTCTCATCTGCCCCTTCAAAGCGAAGAGGTGGCGGTGGGTCTCCTCAAGCTGATGACCAAGGGTATGTGTCCGCTCCTCCTCAACTCGTAACCCCGTCTCGAGGTCACACAGGCGCATGGCCTGTGCATGACTCACCCCTCTGGCCTCATCCAACTGTGCCCTCAAAGTGTCAACCGTCTTGCCTAGGTGACGATGCTCGTCATCTATAGCCATAACCACCTCGTCAGGGTATCCATACGTATGTCGACACTCACACGATCGACTCATCTGGCCGAAGGGAGAATATAGCCTATAGGGTTCCCCGACCCTCATCTGGTATCTGAGTACTCGTCGGCGTACCACTCGGTTCACCGGCCCGCCTACACCTGTAGCTCGTACTCCGGCACCGCTAGGTCCACCAGCCTCCATACCTAGGCAACAAAATATCACTTAGTCAGTTCTCCGGCATTTCATCTTAATAGATACGATTCAACTTAGAAACAATCGAATACTTATATGTTGAATAACACATTTCCCAACTACGCAAGTCCTCTAACCTAGGCGCTCTGATACCACCTGTGACGCCCCCACTTCTCCCAAAGACGAACCCGAGGGTATCGGCGGGACGCCTGCCTAGCTCGCGTCAGGACTCAATACTTAAAATGAGAACATAGATTTCACGCTAAAAGAAAGTTCTAATTACTCTATTACAGCTTCAAAAGATGCATAAACTAATACATCAAGTCATACATATCACGAGTACCAGAAAGTAAACCCTAGAAAAGCTGATAATTGCAATCCACCTCCCTTAGGGGACCCAGCATCCTCGCTGGCACACCGGGGTCGGGAGTCGGCTCTGATACCACTCTAATAGTTCCTTGACAATATTGTCCCACAGTTTGACACCCTGTGGGGCCGTGGGTTTTGTTCTTGGTGGTGTTGGACAACACAACAGGCACCCGCAGGCTACCTCACCAAAAGGCTTCGTCGAGGTGGGAGAGACCACTACAGACTTATCAAAGCAGCCCAGGCTCCCTCCCTAGCCGATGTGGGATCATTACAATCCACCCCCCTTAGGGGACCCAGCGTCCTCGCTGGCACACCGGGGTCGGGAGTCGGCTCTGATACCACTCTAACAGTCCCTCGTCAATATTGTCCCACAGTTTGACACCTCGTGGGGCCATGGCTTTTGTTCTTGGCAGTGCTAGACAACACAACAGGCACCCGCAGGCTACCTCACCAAAAGGCCTCGTCGAGGTGGGAGAGACCACTACAGACTTATCAAAGCAGCCCAGGCTCCCTCCCTAGCCAATGTGGGATCATTACATCATCCGGGTCAGCATTTAAGTCCGTAGAACTCCACTTACTTCACAGTTCCACCATACACCGCACTGGGCCCGAACTTCTATAAAAGGTACTATTGCGCGAGTAGGCCAAGCAAGATCTCTCAATAGATTATCTCATGGTTCACCAAGCTTCTCGACCAAGTCCTTGCTGGCTCGAGTCGCAAGGTCGGCCAATTGAGAGTTGGGTGTCCCCTAATTTAGTTATAAGTCGAGGAGATTCACTCTAACGACATACAGACAGTTCAGTTATAAGTCGAGGAGATTCACTCCAACGACATACAGACAGTTCAGTTATAAGTCGAGGAGATTCACTCCAGCGACATGCAAACAGTTCAAATACAGTTCAGTTACAAGCAGTTCAGTTCAATTGTTCAATCAGTTAAAAGAGAACGAGTGCGATAAAGTACACGCTCGACTCAACAGTTATAAACCATTCAGTCCATAAGAAGCAATTCACATAATTGCAACAAATCATGCACTTGACACTCACCAATCAAAATAGGGAGTAAGTGCTCAAACAACTTTTAGGCGTCCACTTCGAGATCCTCTTAAAGGTCCCCTTGAGCGCCTGAACAAATAATAATTGACTATCACACACTATTACTTACAAACCCCTTTTGCTAACAAGGAAGATTGTACACTTGTACAATACTAAGAAAATGTCATGAAAGAGAGCCTTAATTACTCGTAAATCAAGGCTCAAAAGTGGGGTTTAATAACACAAAGAAAACTGATTTTCTTCATGAAATCAAGTTTAAAACGATCAATTAATATCAAAGGATAGGGAAGAGTTTCCAAAAACTCATTTCCCATCGAGTCGGAAAATTTCAGTTTTGCACATCAAATTTAGAAAAATCAGAACTTGTACTCAGTAGGTCCAAAATTGGAAAATTTTATACCGTTGGAATTTTGGTTCAAAGCAATAAAAGTTCCTAGAAGACACTTTTCCAAGATTCTAAACGGAAGACATTTAAATTTCAATACAAAGTGGCTGATTTAAGCATACCAGACAGTTCCAGTCTTGTTTTGCAGCAAATTTTGGAAATTCGGCAAAATTCACAGAAAGTGAACTAGCCTCTGAAATTTGTAACACAATGAGAATTTCAATCAAAGTTTCAAACATAATAAACGGAACTAAATTCAATGTTTTGAGTGTCAAGATATAGTACTCAAAGTTGGTAAATTTTCACTACTAAATAGTGAATTTTCCAGATTTGAAAGTAAACTTTGGGACATCATTTGATATTAAAATGGTCTTAGAATAATGCCAAATTTGGTACAATTCAACTTCCATATGAGGGCTATTCCTCTATCAAATTTCATGTAAAATTCGTACGGGAAGGTAGTTAACAAAACTATCAAAGTTCAAGAAATTTCCAAGACAAATCTGTCTTCTTGTTTTCTTTCCCTTTTCAAACACTTTACACCATGAAATCAGTCCCATTTGGGTTTTGTGAAACCAAGGTCCAAGAAACATTTCATAAGCAATTGGTTGGTTGACATCACAATTTCAAAATAAAACATTTCACAAACAACTAAACCAGTCGTCCAGCAAAAAGAAGGGTTTTCCAGTTTTGTCGTAGTTTGGAAATTGGACCATATCTCACTCAATACAACTTGGAAGCGAATGGTTGGTGGTTTTGGAAACTAGAATCATAAGGCTACATTTCATCAGAACAAATCGTTTTCAAAATCAATTCATAAGTGAGAGAAAATAGAGCCACAAAATGAAGCTTCTACCTTTCTCTCGGATGGACCATCAGAACAGGACAACAACTTTGCCGAATCACTACGGCTCACTCGTTTCGAACTAGAAAATGAATTTTATACTGTTGGAAAGCTACAAGTGTCTAGTTTCAAATGCCAGAAATGGCACACGATTTTGACATCTGTACAAAGAGATATGTTCAATCAAAGAAACACTGTTCAAGCTGCCAGAACACATTTTCCAGGTTTCTTCACAAATTCGAAATTTCAAGTTTTACTCAACCAATTCAAATTATTTTTGGTAGAAACTTTCTACACACCATATAAAACATATAACATCAATTTCACAGTCATTTGAGCATCAAAAATTTGAAATAAAGGCACAGCAAAAATAGGACAGATTTCGGCCAGCATCCATGCGCAATTTTTCCTTCATCTTTCCTTCATTTTCTATCCATAATCAACTCATCTAAACACATAACAACCACAATCAAGCATTTACACCTCAGGACCGCTACCTAGAGGTCACCACAAGACCGCTAGCCTAACATTAAAAGCAAGAAAAATAAATTCCTCAAGTCCTCTAGCCTAATCCATGTGTAGGGTTCAAACCCTTGCAATTTAAGCTCCAACTTTGAAGAAAAATGCAAAGATTAGAGGAGTTAATGGATACCTCTTGAGCTCTTGAAAAACCACAAATTTTGGACCAAAAATCACCCAAGAAAAACCGCAAGAAGGTGTCTTCCTCCAAGCTCAAGTGAATCTTCAAGTGATTTCGAAGTTGGTTGCACTTTAAGAGATGGAATGGAAGCAAAATTGAAGTGAAATGAAGAGAGCTCTTCTTCTTCTTCCTTGGAGTGTTTCGGCCGGCTATGAGAGGTGAGGAGAGAGAGTATGGCTGATGAATAAAGCTTCTTGGAGAAGCTTGAGTGTTTTGTGGTTAAAATTAGAGCAAAAGTCAACTATGAATAGTACGCGCGCGCGAAGGTTTCATATCCATTTTCTCTCGAGTTTGTTTCACTTGTGCACTAAACCTCCAATGTAGTCTAGAATAAATCTTAAATTTTCACTTAGCCGTTTTGACGCGAAACGCGCGAACTTCCAATTCGCGCGCAATAAAGCGAAACTTAAAAGAAATTCTCGTAACGATAATATAAGTAACTAATACTAGGGTAAATAATCATAAAAATAATTATTTTAGAAATAAAACACATGAGCCCTCACATTTGGAGATTTGAAACCCACTTTTTTGACTTGGATTTATTTGGTAAAAATAGCAGGCCAGCCCATCCTTTTTGCCTTGGATCTTCATTGGGTTTGCAGAGGCTTTGGCCCAATTAAAATTGAATGATGGCCCAAGGCCATTTTTTGATGAGACCCATAAATGAATTTTGCAAATTAGTCCCTGTATTTTTGAGTAATTATACTGTGGCCCTACAAATTTTAGATTTCTTTCAAGGA